CTACTGTTTTGTGAATTTCTATCTAATCCTTAATAGGCGTAAATGTACCTACCAATTTTTCCTACTAATTTAAAGATTTTTGGGTAATTATAAATTGGCGTTTTCAGCTTCCATGTTGTGTAACATGTAGGCACGTATAAGTTTACTACGACAAAGTTGATTTTATTAGCCATATATAGTAATTAGTCCAGTGCATGATTTACTGCACAAAGAGTATAGTGCTATTATTAGTTACATTGTAGGTGTGCTGTAAACGGGCCCAATGAATTGTATTTAACTATTTATCGATTTTTCTGGATGCGTACATTATTTATGTCAAATTAGTGTGCAGGTGTTTCAAACCAGAAGCTTTCAAGTATATTTAAATAACAGCTGTGTGCCTAATAAGGAACAGAAAGAAACAGTTAAATCTGGACGATGTCCTAACTCGAATTTCGGACTGGAATCAAAACATGCGTGAAAATTTTAAACCGAAGCTGTCTGAGCACTTGTGACGACAGGCTCCGTATTTTTGAATATGTGTTACTGCACTGTCGAAATGGTTTTAGGGTTGTTTTTTTACTCCGGATGCTTTCTGGGTTGGATTCGAAACATGCTCAAATTTCGACATACTCCATACAATCTTTACAAGCTTCTGTAAATGCTGAATTATAATGACATAAGAGATGACCTGTACAGCGTTCGTTTTCTATAATCTGCTGCTGGAAGTATTTCTGTAACTTACGGCCAAATAATCGATCAATTAAATTGAAAGAGACCACAATAATCTCGGGGCAGATCAGTACCTTGTGTTTTATTCTGTTCAAATGATAGTCTCGGCATTTTGTATAAAGAGAACTATTATCTGGGGTTTAAAACGATGAGACATTTGCATTATTGGGAATCCCTCTGGGCTTCGATGCAAATCAGGTTGTCTACGACGGTTCCTCGAAGGCATTCGCCGCTATTATTACCAATTTCGTTATGACAACCAGTACTTTGCAGTTCCGTATTGATTGACTGGTGCCGAGAAGGGTTCATTTCTGTTGAAATTTGCCATGTTATACATAATAATTTCCGTAACTCCTTACTCCGTTGTTCGCGCTACGAAAAAATAAAAATAAAATAAAGTAATAAATAAATAAATAAATAACTCAACGTTATAGTCATAATTCGCAGTTCCTTTGACGAACAACTTAACAGTTATTTAGTTTGTAATGGAAAATCTGTGAGACGATGAGGAATATACGGAATAATATATCTTTTACTTCTTTATAGTAATTTTAGATAACAATGCCCATAAAAATTTTAAATACCCTCTAAAGTAACTTGTCAAAGGGTAATAGGTTTTCACACACTCACATTTCAACATAAATATACGACCTGGAATAATAACATTGGTGAAATTACCCCATAAATCGCCTTCTAAGGAATTTTAATCCAGTTTGAAACTATCTTAAAGTTTTCAAACTTAAAAAATGACTTTCTTAAGAGAAGCTTCATTGGATTTTATTGTTTCCCTTTATCCGATGTGAAGTCGCATTAAGGAGACCGTGTTGAAATGGCATTACTCATGTTTGCTTATATCAAGGAAATTGGGCCAAAGTTTTCAGAACTCAATCGATAATAGTTTAATCTGCGGCTAGAAAGTTTTTGGCCATAAACGTTTGCTGAAATTTAAGTCGGCTTAAGCCTTATATCGACAATTTCGGTTATGTCTAAAGCGTGCCGGAGTTTTACAGCGGTTCCAAAACAATTAAATCGATGTCGTTGAATCCGAGTCCGGTGTACGTTCGACGAAGCTAGCTCAAGATCAAGGTTATTTAAAAGTCAACTATTGTTTTTTTATGTTAATATAATTTTTGTCCCCAGCGCGGCGGTTCGACATCAAATAGCACAAGATCCGGATTTTAGAAACAAGGTGCTTTTGCTCGTTCGTCTTTATTTTGTTCACGATTCTGTTTTTTTGTTCTATTTCGGGTGTCAGAAAAATGGTTCACTTCCATGTTATTCCGGTGCCATCTTATCTCCCCGAAATTCCCGCGTCCCTTCCGCCCGAGTCGTAGCGAAACCGTCACTAATTCGAAATAATAACGTGGAGAGGCATTTAGCCCTAATGCCATATCCCCGTTGTTTGGCTTCCCTAATAAGATCCCGGCGTCGTTCCATATGAGGACCGGCGGGAGACAAACAGATAGCGAAGATAACTCCTTAATACGTCATTAGCAATTAGCGGCTAATAACATTCGAAACTAATGTATTCCAGACGCTCGCTATCGCCGGCTCATATCTGTTTGTTATAATAACGCGAGAGCTGTGACGACGTGCTGAAGAAGTTGATGTTCCGGGGGGGACTGGGGTTACGTAATTGGGATGCGTGGAGATTGTGTTAATTTTATCGGGGATTTTGAAGTCGTTTAACTGGAAAAGCAGGAAATAGTGTCGCGTTGTTGGCGTTACTGATTAAATTATGTAAAAGTCGATGTGAAGTGTATTTAAGGTTGACTAAATGAAAACGTGGTTTTGTGAGAGCAACTAAATACTCAATAAATTGAAAGTAACCCCACATTTATGAAAACTGTAAAATTACAATTTAATGCAATATAAATTCGAGTATAGTTTACTGGAGTAAAATTACATTAAGCACGTGATTTTGCACTTTTTGCATTATACATATAAGCAAATTATATAAGTCCGAGTAAAATTAGTTTAGTGAAGTAAAATTACAATAAACATATGATTCAATACCATTTCAGTAGGTTGAAAACTATAATGGATTCACACTTATAAAAAATGTATGAAAAATTACAGCATACAAATCGAATAAAGTCGGCTTAATGGGGTAAAATTACGTTAACTATGTGATATATTTACAATTATAAAAATTGTATGTAAAATTACATTTAATACCATTTAAATTCGAGTAAAATTACTTTTCACATTAGATAGATATAAGATTTTGCGGTCATTGATACATACCGCAAATAGGGGTGGTCCCAAAACGGTTCCCTGCGGGACACCGTAAGTAACAGTCCTTGGACAACTTCACAATTTAGGTAAAACTTCTTTTTTTATTTGAAGAGTGTTTTCGTCAAATTGAACTTATGAAATGAACGAAAAGAAATCCATGAGGTTTTACGTTTTATATTTAATCAGTTAAATTGCTAGCTCAGATCTCATCAGCTTATGTCGAGATATATCAGATAGTATCATTTTTTAAACTTTAAACAACTTGTATTTCAGAAGCTAACGGATTTTCGCTTAAAAAAATAGAATATAAAAATTTAACCCTTTACATTTCCCTTTGTTTGATACAACAAACTCGTTAAAAGATAACCTTTTGCAGATATTTCATCTGCCTTTGTCGACGTAGGTACTTTTCACGCATATTTCCGTGCCGCCGGATGTACAAGACATTGTATCTCCGCGTATACATACGAGAGATATATGTCGAGTTCCCCGCTGTGTCAACAAAGATTCCTCATCAGGTGGAATATTAAAATTCCCCGGCAATTAAATATTTTAATGCAGCAGAATGTCCCGGTTTTATACCTGGATCATCCGCCATAATTTGGAATAATTAATTTAAATGGAAGGTCTATGTACGTTTCTGGCCGACGCGACGTAAAATAATTAGGCGATTAATTTAAATTAGCGTCCCCGCACATGACAAAAATCACACTTCCCTCTTTTTACGACAATGCGGGTCGTGTTTGCGTATTACATGGGAATATTCAGCGGTCCTCTCTGATGTATTTCGGAGATAAACTGTAAAATTAGAGCTGTTTACTAAAATCCTGAAATTTCAGTAACAAAAATAATTGAAATTAGAATATTTCTTTAAAATATAAAGATTTTCGTGCAAGCCATTAACATAATAAATAAGAAACAAAGTATAAATATCTGTACTTTCATTATAAAATAATATTTTCTGTCACCCGGTTGAATCTCTTGTTTACAACTTTTTAGTTTTTTTATTTCATTACAAATATGATATTGGTTCAAAAGTGTAGCGAAAATCACTGTAGTGTACATAGTATATCCTTATTCTTAAGTAGTCAAGAACTACATTGTTTTAAGACACATCATCTGAAGACGATATGTCAAAAACTAGCACAGTCCAGTACAAAATCAATATTATTGGTCATGCATCCATTAGGCAAAGGCCAAGGAGAATTCCAGTGGCTAAGCAAGAGAAAGTGGAAAACCTTCTGAGGAACATGAAGCACCTAGGTGTAATCGAACTTTCGAGTAGCCCAATGAATTCATCGGTAGTGTTAGTTAGTTGGTCTAGAATCGATGACACTATCGATACCCCGGCAAATGCAAAATGCTTCTCTACGTTGGATCTAAAAAGTGGGTATTGGCAAGTGGAAGTCGACAAAGAAAAAACTGCTGTCTACAGGAACAGGTTAGCGGCGCTTCGATATCATGCTATTTGGCCTCTGTAATTCTCCAGCCACTTTCGACAGACTTATGGAGACTGAATTATAAGGGTTTACCTGGAAGACCTCTTTTGTAAACCTTGATGATGTTATTATATTGGGCAAGACGATTGAAGAACATGCGAAAAATGACGAGGAAGACAATCAGATGAGTAACCTAACCTAACCTAAAATTGAATCCCACTTCTGACATCATTTTGTACTGAACCATTATTTAGCGTAATTTTGTACAATAGCTTACAAACTTTGGCGACTTTGACGTTTCACTATAACTTTTATATATATTTTTTATATATTTATATATTTTTCTTGTTTCCCAAAATTTCCATAGAAATTCTAAGAACAGTGCAGAAGAAGAACATTATATAAGCTTCTAAGAACATGAAAGAGACAAATAGAAGATATTCTGGAAATATTATGAAACAAGTAAATAAATGTAGGAACTATGTATGCTAGGGTGTTTTTCGGGACAATACTTTTTAAAATTCCTACGACTTTTTTTTTTCGTGTCTTGAGCAATATAGGGAATAGAGCCATTTCCGCTCGACTCCCTGTACAAATAAATCAACGACTTACCTAACAGAAGGAGCGACGGAGCCGCCATCTTCGCCAACTGCCCTCTGGGCGAGGAACCTGGGCAAGTCCCCGGGCTCGGAGTGCTCCAGTAGGGCGCACATGGGCTCGTCCTGGCTGCAGAAGCCGACCACTCGCGCCAGGTTGGGGTCGCGAAGACCCGCCAGCCAACTGGTCTCCCTGAGGAACTCGTGCCTGGAACACGTGGGGTTGTTATTTTTTCGACACGCTTAAGAGGGGTGAGTGGATAATAAGAATTAATTTGGAGGGTAAACATCTCGATCCGAAATAATTGCGACGTGTTCGCGGTGGAAAACATGTAATCGCCTTGTGGCAATAATGAAGCATTTCAAAATAAATAAATTTATTTTAAACTCTCTAAGTATATCCACCGCTGTTAGATGAGTAGTCCTCAGCAAATTTTCGACAGAATTGTTCTAAAAACAGCCACGACATGTACTTACACCGATGTACTCATCAGAAGGCAAACACAGACAGATTGTATGCAGCAGGGAACGAATAAGGCATTTGCTGCGAGGGGTCTCAGTACTCTAATTCAATCTTTCCATGCGAATCATAATCAGAGTCAATACGGACGCAAGTGTTGTACGGAATAGTGAATTGGTAAAACCGATCAAATTTGATTTAGACGCAGGGTGCAGCGAGATGATTGCGACGGTGGATTGGGCCTGCTCTGTCTGGTTGTAATGGGGATTATGCTCGCGTGTTCCAGATGACGTTTTAACGAGAGGTTTACGGTTTTAAACGCTGCTTGGAAAATTCTGTATCGAGGTGTAATTACATGTATAGGTGCAACGACAGCGATCAATGTTGTTTTAAAAGAGCGGGATTAAAAGGACAATATTTTAAAAGAACGAACACTCACGCAATTTGAAATTTAAAATTATAACTAAAATTCAGAATATAAAGTGTCTCATAATTCACGCAAGATGTAATTTTGATGGAAAACACAGGTTTTTAATTGAAATTTATAAATATTTTATTGATTCATAAAGTATACAGTACAAATTACAAATTTCTTTATAAAAAGTAATTTGAGTTCCAAACTAACTCCAAAATCTGCTTAGAATGGAAGAAAGTCTGTTATTTGTGCATTAATTTATATTTAGACAAACTTTGTAATAAAATCTATAAAAATGTATTGCTGGTTGCCTATGTGCTATAGAACCCTCTTAAATATCTACACTATAATACCACAAGTATTACTTACGAAAGAGGACCTTTTTTATACTGTCTAAGATACATTATGAAACTTTGTTCTGTTCTTGTTGACAAATTGTTATGGTGTGTAGTTTCCTAATTATCATTAGCAAAATATTGTTAACATCGTCTCCGCGCCAGACATGGCTTACTTTACTCTTAATAACGTTAAGTGCAGAAGCAAATCAAATGTATCATTAAAAGGAAAATTTTAGGGTAGTCTTTTTTCATAAACACATTATATAAAGGCGGTTTTACGACTTTAAATGGATGGAATCTGTTTATATTCCCGCAATGGCGGCTATTTATAAAATATAATTACTGGGATTTCAAAGAATCTTTATAGCACAAACATCATCACTCGCGTATTTAGGCACAAACAGCATAATGGAATTTTTATTCGTTTAAATAAAATTTACGTTTTAATACTGCAAATGGAGGGTTTAATGAAATTAATTTTGTATAGGTATGTTTATTTATTTTGCACTCGCGGAAGACCCCGCTCTTATTTCGATACTTCGAGGGTTTACGAGAAACGTTAATTAAATAGGTAGATATACAGGCTGTCCCGGTACTTGATACGGGTTTTGGTTAACAAGTTACGGGCCCTCAAAAGTGGAAATTAAAAAGTTATTTTTATATACACTCTCTAAACTTAAGCAGGATGCAAATTTGGAGAAAAATGTACGGTGGATTTGATGCTCTAAAGAATTGAATAATAAACGGTGTCTGACTAATGAACTGTAATTTTTATTATTGTTATACTTTCAGTATATTAAATTAAAAAGGGCGATGCTTTAAATAAACCCACCATACTCGTAGATTTTTCTGTGTTGAAATCAATAATTTCCAATTTACACGAGAACTGTTAACTTTGGGTATAGGGAACTATAGTATCCTTTTAAAGTGAAAATTAATAACTTGAAAACTGTCACATTTTGGCACCTTATATGAAAATAGTCTAGAATTTGCTGTAGAATTAAAAAATGCATAAATATACATAGTGCTCCATTTGAGATAACAGAGATGATTATGACTTCCGGTATAACCGGAAGTGCGAGGAAGTTGATAAACCCCTGTATACAAATTTTCAGATTTCAATTCTGACTACTTTTTGAGATAATCCTACTGGTCCCTCTTCGTAATACAGCCGTATATAATTTTCATATAACTGCGATGATATTTGTGACATCAAAGTACAAAAACTTTGTTACCTTTTCGCATCTCCACAGCCTCTCCATAAGCTCTTCACGATAACCAGTTGTTTCTTGTGGAAAGAAGATCCACCGTTGAAGTCTGGAAGACCTTCTGCTTCGCACAGATGAACCTGCAGCAGAAATAAGTCTAACAGTTTTCTAAATACTTGAAAGTGAAACATTTATACTCTGAATGAAAATTCAAAGATTCTATGACTGATTAGATTAAACAGAAAGTTCATTGTCTTACGATAAAATGTTATTACAATCTCAGATAATCGTATTGTAAATGAATCTTCATGTAAATCAGTGCCAAATTGAATTAATACATATATGATTTATTCAGAAAACAAGCTAGGAATAAAACACGACGCAATAGCCGTTTCTTATTTGCCTTGATACGGCAGGAAAAAAGTCCTTCGACAATCAACGGGAGTTACACTCACAAATGCCGTATTTGCAGACCAAATTTATTTTTTCTCGGGAACCGCGTGTGTCTTCGACGCACCAGAATTTCAGCGTCAATATTGACTTGCAAGGGCAGAAAGAGGTAGGATATGTCAACTTATTGGACCCCTGGGCACATGAATGGGAGCCAGTATAAGATTTCGGCACGCACGGTCATTTGGCAGTTTCAAAAAGTCGGCTAACCTATTGTTTGTCCTTTCTTGTGCTTGATTCGAGATGGCGTTGCTTGCTAGCGTCTTGCAACTGACTGAGTTTTTTGATAATACGAGAATTTTTGCACACACCCGTACCTATTTTCTGTCATTTTATAAAATAAATTCAGATAATCCAACGACCACAGGAATAATAGTCTTGGGTAAGTACTGAAACTCAGTACTTAAAAATGTTCTTTTAATTCTCTGTTTTGGCGCTTGAAGGACTCCAATATCGCCGGTAAATCTTTATTGGAAAAACATGCCATTTCTTTCAATTAAACAAATTCGCAGGCACGTAGCGACGCCATTTTTATTTATCACCGTCCGTCCGGCGTTAAATGTCTAGACCGTGTTCAGCTGGTTCAATTATTCCGGAATAAGTAAGAGGAAATTCGTGTACAAGAACAGATGGGGAAATGTTTTTTACGTACACACGATTTTATGTTCCTTTTGTCCGTGAGGATTTTTAATACACCCGGTGGGTGGCATGGGGAATGCAAGAAGAAAAATAAAGGGTCTGCTCGCAATTGAAATAAGGAGGAATGAAAATAAATATGTGGCGGAGGGACATAAAAAGAGGCCGGGTGGGTAAGATGGATGGTGGAGATATACGAGATGTATGGAAGTCAAAGTGGTGATGTAAACAGTAAAAGAAGTACGCATTAGTCTGTGCTAGCGCACAAATCTGGCTGCTTGGCGATGAAGTTGTTTGTGTTTTTTGAAATTTGATGGAGATCAATGGACAATATTGCAAGAGTAGCAATTTATATTTAGATTTGGTTATAGTAATGCAATAGTTGGAACTGACATAATAGATGTTATAACTACAGGGTGTTAGAAGTTTGACTGCCTTAATTTTAACAGACGAAAAAAATGATCAAAATCTCCAACTTGATGTACAAAAGTTCGATTAATTAAGGAATATTCACTTCAGCTTGCATATAATACGATAAAATACAATGTTATATGTTTTTTGAACTTCTTTGACATAAATTTAAGATTCGATAAAATTCATATCGAGCAATGTGACAACGGCACGGCAGATAACACGAGCTACTAAGCTGTTCAGAAATACGAAATTCAGTGGATATCTGGAATTGGACCGTGTCTGAGTGTTTTTTGCATACCACTATTTCCTTTTTTTCGAAAGTGTTGTGCGTGCATCGAAAATGAGAATGGAAATTTTGAGCATATTATGTTGTAGTTTGTTTTGTACTTGACCGTTGAAAAATAACTGAATTTTGCTTTTTGGTAAGTACCTAAATTATTTTTAATACATCTGATTATTTGGACGACGTGAATCTTTAGGTACTTTAATTACATATTTTTCAAATACGTAATTTGACTAAAAGATAAGTTCCTGTTTTAAGACATTCATAATTATTAATATTCGTGCTAAAATTTAAGCACAGCACTGTCTTCGTACTACAAAATCGATACATTTTATTTTATTTATATAAAAATGGAAAACAATTGCCTTGAAATTTACTAAACGTTTCACAATAATAGTTGTTTACATTTTTTCCGTAGGACAAGTCGGCCGCGTGCACACGTGGTATGCACCAGCTGTGTAGCGTTAGGTTAAGCGCTGTTGTCACGTTGTGATGAAACTCCCCAATATTAATACTCGCTGTATTTTGAAAACTGTTAATCTTACGTAATATACAACTTTTTTGTTCATTTATGACTTTAGTACTCATGCTGAAGGAATGGCAGGCAAACTTCTAAACCATCAATCGTGAAGTTTTCTTATAATTACACTGGATTTTCAGAAAGTACAACTGCAATCATTCGTAGTTATTTGTCAGATAGATTTCAGTATGTAGAAACAGAGGTAACTCATCTAAACAGAGTATGGTGTATAGAGAGTACCGCAAGGATCCATACTAGGGCCTGTTCTATTTACTATTTATGTAGTATTTTCATAGGTTGCCGTTACTAGCAGAGGAACGTGAACATTACATTTTAAAATATCACTACGTACAAGTATAATCGAAATACTGGATGTATTACAAGCTCTATGACAAATTTTGACAGACGGTAGCTGGGTTAATTTCAAATAATTTTTCTTGTACGAACATAGGTCCGATGCGTTTTTGTTTAGAAGTTACAAGCATTTTAAAAAATAATTTCATATTCAATCGAAGTAGCCTGATAAATAAAAGTGGTGGTTGCTATAACAATAATAGCACGAGGCTTTTTTAGAGACTAGGGAAGAAACTTAAACCTCAAAAACGGACAGAGAGGAAAGAATGAGGACCCCTATGATATCAGTACTGATCATTATCGACGATCTAACATCACAAGAGTACTGAATCTTTCCGCACTGTTGTCTGTTTTTGAGGTTGAAAGTTTTTCCACAAAGAGTTCGTCTTTTATCTTCTAAAAAACTCGTGTGTCCTACATAGAAAACGTTGTGTTTTGCAATTTCATAACACTGCGGATTTGCCAAGATTTGTACAAAATTCGCCCAAATTTTTGTCTGTCCATTTTGCTGGAGGCCTCTTAGGAAAAAAAAGTTCTTGAACTTGAACAACAACGTTTTGATTTGATTCTAAAAAAGGCACCGACTTACAGTGATGATAATAATAGACTTTTTTTCTGGAGTGGGCACGGCTTTCTAGGGTGGGCCATGCACACCCCTGCCCCCCTCTAGCTACGCCCATGTTTACAAACAAAATTTCACTTCAGATCTGTCATAACCTAACTAACTGGCATATACGAGTAAACAAGCAACAACAGCCACAATAATATCCTCACAGTTGACAAATCTTACTCACCATGCCGAAGTCACCCTCGCCCAGCTTCTCCAGCAGTCTGAGCCTGTGCCTGGGGAAGTCTAACAGATGGGCGACTCCTTCCAGCGGTGGTCCTTCGGGCAGCTTAATCGGAGTGAATCGACCCGGCGTGAAATGTTGCTCCCGTCGCTCGCCCTGGAACGAAATGCATTATTTATTTCACGGATTGATGGTGGCCATCGCCGCCGCCGCTACCGCCGCCACCGCCGCCGCCGCTTTAGGTCGCGTTAATTGGTTCTTGGTGATTTGGGTCGAGCGATGGACGTAGGGAGCAATTCGGTCGCATTGGGACCTTTTGATTAATTGTGATGATTGCGGGCGTTTTAAAATTTTAGGTGTGCAAGTGATATGCTTTATAGATATCCACATTACATTTAAAAATAAGTATATGTTAAATATACAGGGTGTTTCATAATGACGTGCAAGTATTTTAAGGAGGTGTTTAGAAAGTAATTTTAGGAGGACTTCCAATATATTTTTTTGATTTGAGCCCCCCCCCTCCCTCCTCCCTGAGAAAATATTCAAAAAACAAAATGACCGAAAAAATTAACTTTAATTTTTTTTCACGAAAACGGTTAAACTTAGAAATTTGAATTTTGGTACACCTTAACAACTAGTTGATGGTAAACTAATGGAAAAAATTAAGGGATAAAAAAAAAATCTAAATTTTCGGCGATTTTTCAAATGGCTGTATCTTTGATAAAAATGGTCGTATTGGAGTAAAAAAAATTCTAATTTTTGGATCTTGCAAAAAAATTTTTTTTCAACTAACACGTATCGCGCAATCTTAATGAATATCATGAAACACAATTTTTCGAAATTTTTTTCAATCTTACTTTTGGTGTACGGACTTTAAAAAAATTTTTTCCAACTTAACCACCTTATGGATTAGATAGGTTGTTCATTTAGCTTCAATTTCTTTTTTTTTTTCGGTCACGATACGACCATTTCTCGCTGAGCTATCGGATTTTGAATGAAAATGGATCATTTTCTCTTTGTTCATCGATATCTCAGAAACCAATGGTTGCGCAGAAAATCGACGGTGGTTTTCAGAAACTTGAATGAATTATCTACAAGGTCCTGGCACGGTTTTTTAGAAAAAAAAAATTTTTAATCCTTAACATGACTGAAAAATCGTAAAAAATAGGACATTTAGGAGTCTTTTAGAAAATCACGTGCCACATTGAGAATATTGGGAAAATGACTATTGTTAAGTGTGCCTTTTACAGGTCATTGTACCCCTAAAAGTCCTACAGTTTCAATTCGTTCCATTAAGCCGTTTTTTTGTTTCATTCGATTGAATTTTTAAAGAAATTAAAGGATCACGTTTTTTTGCCTTTAAATGCTCATAATCTGTTAAAAAATGAAAAAAAAAATTCCTGATTCTTTTTACATTCTTATTGCAGAAAGCGTTTGAAATTATGAAAAAAAATTGTTCATGTTACGGATAAAAAAAAAAATTTCTAAAAAACCGTGCCAGGACCTTGTAGAGAATTCATTCAAGTTTCTGTGCAACCATTGGTTTCTGTTCCGCAACATTTTTTCTTATATGAACCGATTCGTTTTTGTTTAGAAGTTGTAGGCATTTAAAAAAATATTCTTAGCGTTAAGGTGCTAAATAAAAAATGCATGCTATCTATCAAAGTTTCTCATAGAGCTTAGAGAACACCCTGTATATAGAACTAATAAAAAATCTCTACATTTCAAATGTTATCACAAGAAAATTTCCATACATTTGTTTCTAAGTATGAAAATAAAAAATATAGGGGGGCGGAATGCTATGTACGTATAGCGATTTGTGTAAGCAGGCTCAGCTGAGCTATCGATGGATTCAGCAGTTCCAAAAATGTTTCCTCGTACTATTCGAATATCTTCTCCAAGTTGCAAATACCCTAGATATATTAATCTAGTCAATGGTCGTATTTTGTACAAAAAAAACTTAAGAAAACTTTCTACCGTCATCTGCTAAAAAATGTATTTACGGTTCCGACCTTTTCTGGAATTCTCCAGGCGTTCTTTTATAGTTCTCGGCAGCATACAATTTCACAAAACGTTACTAGACACTACATAAACGTATAGCTGTAGCAGCTGCATATTTCATTGCAGTTAATATTTAAATTTTACTTACGTCTTCCTGCATTTTTGTTTAGAGTCCGTTCCGTAGGTTTTATCCTCCTCGCGGGTTCCCGTACGCCAAATAAAGCGAGCAAAAAATTTTACAGCCATTTAAGACAAAAACCGCCGTAAATCCCCATCCTGGCCTCTCTCTCGGTATTCAGTCAGCCGGGCCACTTTTTACACCAACTAAATTATGTACATCATCGCGCCCAACACGGGCACTAAAATATAACCACGGTTATATAATACAGTAATTTCAGTAAGTCCGCAGGTTTTACGAGCAACGTATACGTAATAAAAAATAAACAATACATTTCTTCGCCGTTACCCACATAAATTGAAAAAGATTATCATGTTCATGCATTACAAATACGGAACTGGAAGATGTGCACTTCGCTGATAGGACCATGTATCATCCCTCCCGTTCCGCAACTGGTCCCACTGAAAAATGCATGGCACCAAGTGGCTGAATGATATATTTTTGCTAAGCGGACCGTCTCTATTACGTGACAATATACGTAGGGTGGGAAGTGGGAGGGGAAAAACGCATCTCGGTATCTCATGAAAAAGGTTTTAGTCCAACCAAATTATAATTGGAGAAAAAAAAAATTGTTACTTGTACTTTTATAAGTGGAAATGGTAAAAAGGTTTATAATAAACCTAAAAAAATAAATGCATGAGCAGGGGTGGCGGGGGGTTGATTTAGAGGGTTAAAAATTTGTGAAAAATTGTATCATTGGGATTTCTGGTGAAAGTTGACGTCAAACAAAAAAGTATTCAATGCAAAAGTTGTAGATCATGCAAAAATCTACAACTTTTGTAGAGGTCACTTTTTACGATAACCTCAAAATTTCCGAGAAAAATGCGAAAAACAGGTTTTTTCTTATTTTTCATTTTTTATTTCTCATTTCCCCAAAAATAATAATTTTGACGAAACTTGGTGAATGTATACCTTTCTGTGTCTTAAATAACCCCAAATCTTTTTAGATAAAAAAATCAAGAAGTTTCCGAGATATTCATTTTTTCCGGTCTGAAACACTTTTTCTTTAAAGAAAATTTCTACTTAGGAAAATCATCGTACAGAGGTCTGCCGGTGATATTTTTTTTCGTTTTGACATATACTTTTTAGTGAAATAAAGAAATCTGTAATCAAGTTCAAAAACATGCTCAAAAATATCTGACTGGAAAGTCTACTGTTGATGCGCAATCCGAAAACCTGAAATTTTGCAAAATCGTTTTATTTTTTCTGGCTCTATTTGAAAACGAATTTTAAAAATAAATTGCATATTTACATTACCATAAAAATAGCAGCGACATATTTAAAAAAATTAACCTGATGGTGGCCCCTCGAAGACGAAACGTCGGATCGGAAAAATGTTGACGCCATTGTATAGAGCGAAAAAAGTGGCATTGTAAATATGCAATTTATTTTAAAATTCGTTATCAAATAAAGTCAGGAAAGAAAATTAAACAATTTTGCAAAATTTTGGGTTTTTCCGGATATCTCCGGAACTACTCGGAATTTTAAAACTTTCTAAACGGCATATTGTTAGGTATAAAAAAACTAAACTTTCTTCTAATCTGAGCCACCCCGTATTTCTTACCGTTTTCTAGATCCTAATACTATCCCATCCTTATCTTGGACACACTGTATATCTATGAATTTTTCAAAATTAAAAAAAAATAAGTACACTAATAGATCCTACGGAAAAAAAAATTATTTATTTTATTTATTCATTATTCGATTTATGTTTATAGCAATACTGTACAAAAATAAAGTTTTCGGTCAGACAATGAAACAGTTTTTCTTGTATTTTTTCCGTAAAATTGAATGGTGTAATCAGTTTCTGATTTTTTTTTTAAATTTAAACAAAATATCAACAATTACTGAGAAATTCATTGTTGCAAGTAATTTTTTATTTATTTGCATTTTTTAGCATGTTTTTGAACTGTGATTATAGACTTCTTTATTTCACCAAAAAGTATGTCACAACGAAAAAAATTATCACCGTCAAAACTCTGTACGATGATTTTCCTCAGTAGAATTTTTTGAAAAAAGTGTTTCAGACCGGAAAAAATGAATATCTCGGAAACTTCTTGATTTTTTTATCTAAAAAAAATTGTTGTTATTTAAGACACAGAAAGGTATACTTTCACAAAGTTTTGTCAAAATTAAGTTATTTTTGCGGAAATGGGAAATAAAAAACGAAAAATAAAAAGAAAACCTGCTTTTCGCATTTTTCTCCGAAATTTTGAGGTTATCTTCAAAAGTGACTTCTACAAAAGTTGTAGATTTTTGCAACATCTACAATTTTTATATTACATACTTTTTTGTTTGACGTCAACTTTCGCCAGAAATCCCAATGATACAATTTTTCAAAAATTATCAACCCCCCAAACCTACTCTCCGCCACCCCTGCTCACGCATTTATTTTTTTTAGGTTTATTATAAGCCGTTTTACCATTTCAACTTATAAAAGTCCAGGTAACAATTTTCTTTTTCGGTCTATTTGTTTAAAATGAGATTCTCTATACAGAGCGTTATTATACATTATTTACTGTAAAATTGATTGAATTTCACTGAAAATGCTTCCGCGAATAATACCGCCATCGCATTTAATTTTTGCCAGGTATATTTATCGGAATTATCTTTTGTCGAGGAAGCCCTTAATTCTCTCCGTAAATTGCAGTTAACTATTGCGGAAACTATTCTGAAAGCTCGGCGTAATAGTGTAATAGTGCTAATAGTTTTCAGAAATGCGAGGAACTTTAACGCGAGCGAAATCGCGACGTTCTGGCTGCAGCGGAACAGCCCTGAATAGTTCAACTTTGCAGGAGGTTGTTAAGATAAGTTCTGATCTCACACATACAGAAAAAGCCGGCAGATATCTGTAATTAATGGAAGTTGTTAAAACTAACATCGGGACAATGAGAGAGGTTGCGCCGGAATATGTTGCTGTGCTGAAAGGTGGAACTCCAGGAAAGCTGTTCCTGATACGAGCCTGTAAAGATGTAATTGGTTTTTTTCGAAAATTATAATTGTAAAATGCTGTCTTTTACATGACGTTTATCTAATGTTGATAATGTTTTTTGTATACAAAACGTAAATAGTTATTTTTTATATTGATTGATATGTAAGATTACTAAAAATTGTACAAGGTGTCCCACTAAGGTCGGCGAGGTACGATATTAGAGAAAGTATAGGCCCTAGAGCTTCGAGAAAAAAATTTATTTGAGACAGAGTTTTGATCATTTATTTTAATAACTATTACCCTTTACTGGTTACGATATGAACAAATAATAATATCAACTAATAAATAAAAATACGTATTATACCAACAACATACCCCGCCAAGGAATGCTCTGCTCGGCACTGGTAAAGCGGCAAAGCTAAGTGAACCCGTCTACCATGCAAAAAAATTATTTACGACCTAGTAGACCAATGCAGGTTTGCTTTGTTGACCAGCGCGCCGCCGTCAATTCTACGTCAGGCGGACTAGTTTACCAATGCCAGACTCGCCGAATTGCTATTCGAGTATAAATTACGAGACACATCATGGTCAAATCATAAGAAGAAATTTCAGGAGAGGTGCATACGGTCCCGTGCTTTAAGATTTACAGGTTCCAATTGACATCTTAACAACTATACAAAAAACCTACTTTCCTAGTCGACAACGACCAAAATTTCACAGCTTGGAAACGTTCCATCTTAGATATTTGACGTGAATTGATGAAAGTTGGGCTGAATGAGTGAAAATGACTTAAGGGATAAAAATTAGCCGAGTTGTCTGACCCTTCCTGTATATTTATGAATGTTATGTTTTTTTTTTACTAACTTTGATTTAAATATACGAATAAAAGTGTCGATTTACATAGACTTGTGTTAGTCAACCTACCAAATTAATCGCGTATGTGATTTTACAAAAACATTTTTATGAGTGTAAGCGTGGAAAACAGGAACATCGTCCTGCCCCTCGGGTCCATGTGTTGAGGGCTCCTTCCTCGCAATCCCAGCTGCGGTGTATGTCCCATCGACGGAGACGACCCTTCTCGTTTTACTCCCAGGGCCCCAGGTGGCTTCACCGCGCCTACTACTCCGTCACTGACATCCTGAGGGGCTTGTCCGAAGGAAGTTTATGCGGAATACTTCCCGCGACTCCATATTACATTTAATAATGTCGGCCTTATGTAGAATAATTTGTTTCGAAATGCTCCCTCGGTGTAATTCTGGAAGTTTTTAAATTTAATTTCGAGCGGTCGACGCAATCTCGCCGCACGAGGAACTCGTCAGGGAAGTTTTTCCATTTTCTAGGCGCGTACGATGAATCTGGTCGTAAAGAAACGTTATCCGATGTATCGCGCGGGCGAAGCTCGCAGTGGATATTATGAATTCTTTCTGGCAACTTCATGGGTGTCGACATCTACGACAGCTTTTTTGTTGCTGAATCGTCTGTTTTGCTTTGTTCAGCAAAATCGGAGCATCTTCAGCATTTTTGTCAGCCATATTGGATCCGCCATTTTGAATTTCTAAATTTTGAGTAAGGATTCGAAATCAGCGACCTCGAAAACCTATTAATACCAAATTTCAGCACAATCAGAGCATCTTCAACATTTTTGTACGCCATATTGGATCCGCCATTTTGAATATCAAAATTTTGAGTACGGATTCGAAATCAGCGACCCCAAAAACCTTGGCGCACCATATTTCATAGCAATTAGAACACTTTTAGTATCTTGGCCATTTTTTCAGGTTCCTGGCCCACAGTGGGCCGCGCTGATCCAGAAACTCGCTGTATACATTGTCAAATATTGCTTCCAACAAAAGAGCAAAAGAAGCGATAGATACCTCCTGCGTCCTCTTATCTTTTAAAGATACACTAACCCAGCAGGCCTGATCAAACGCGGATACCGCGCTCCATTTCCACGATAATTGCAGTATCATTATGCCTTTTTAGCACTCCAGTTCCGCGATAAGGGGCGATGCGACATGGGGGAATGAAACCCGCTAAACCGTAGGCAACATAAGAAAAGCAACAAGTTTTTCCATCGTAAAAAAACGCCATCCAGATAAAAGATAAATGGAGAAATGGTAATAAAGTTCGGGTTATCTGACGGAACATCTCCCGTTTTACGTCTAATAAGGCATAATAACGTCGACCGTAAATCGTAATTTACTCCTTTTATTAAACATTTTTCACGTTTTTCGTTTTAATAACAGACGGCTTTCGTTAAGAGCAAACATTACAGAATTATGAGTGTGTCAGCTATATCAACATCTACGATTCATGAACGTAATGCGTATTTTTAAACCATTTTGGTAAAACATCAAAACTATTTAATGAATTGGAATTAATACATCTGTTCTTTTCTTGCAACAGTTCGATTTGAACCTCCTAATGTGGTTTCCCTCAACTTTTGTTGTGCTCATGTTGATGGGAAGACTATGACAACTTTAGTTTATGCAGTTTGTAAGGATAACTTAAACATCTGCTGTGATTCTTTAATTTTTGTGACCACATTAAAAAGACTACTTGGATTATTTGTATCTGAACATTTTAGAAGTCATATCAGACTAGTGTCCACCTTAAGCGGACGCCTTACCCTGACGGAATAGTGCTTTTTTGTACAGAAATAGTTTGCCCACTCTCGACAGACTCTCGGTACATATTTCCATCTCACTTTCGGTGGTGTACCACATTCGCAATGCTAGGAAGACATTATCATGCGAGTTGCACCGACAAGGGTTCGGCACGTACCTTTATAATGTCCGTGGCGGCGTAGTAGTTCTCGGGGGCGGGGATGGACCCATTAGGCGTGTTGTTGGGCGCCTGGTAGTTCTGGACGTCGTAGGTGGGCGGCCGGGACGACGGCGGGGGCGGCGGCGTCAAGTTGTAGAACGACGGCGACGAGAACTTCAGGTCCTCCTGGAAGCTGTTCACGCTCGTGAAATCTGTAAGAGGAACGTTTATTGGTTGTTTGTCATACAAGTACATTTTTTATATGTAGAAGAATGCAAGGTGTCTTGAAATACTTCAGATGGACTGTAATATTTGCTGGAAGGGCAACGGGGTTCCTATATAACAGCGTTCGTATAAATTAGAAGACCGCAACACGTATTAGATCTTGTCGAGGAATACCTGAGCCTCAGTACCCGCGACATTGCACGTGAAATGGAGGTTTCAAACACTACTGTGTGTTGGTTGTTACGGAAATAGCAGCTGCTTCCTTATCATGAACAACGTATGCACATTTAAAAAAGGAATTATAAAATGTTTAGTTTACATAAATTCTACTCAAATTTTCGCCGATGTTCTGAAAAACAAAAACGTTCCAAAAACGACACAATTTGCTTAACGATGTCGATGTTCCTTCCGTAGGAAAGTCGCCTGTGAAAAAACAAAATGCATCGCCCCACATCAAACACGACGAACTAAACCGACGAAACGCCCGTAGAACGCGTTGCCAGCCGACTTTGGGGCTTCGGCAGCGTATTTGCGTCTCCCAAATTGGTTTTTGAGATAACCGGCTGCGAGGAAACATCCCGGACCTCAAGGTGATAGACAGTTGGTATTTTTCATGTCTCATCTAACACGCGTATTCCTATTAAACATGAATATCCCGCGCAACACATGAATCTCTTATGATTTACAAGGCAGGTAAGCCGTGATAAATAAACCTACACGGGCGTTAAATTATTTCCAGGTGGAATTTCAGCGGTGGCAGCGTTATAACAGCGTATATGTTTCTGTAATGCCTTTCTTTATAAAAGATGGGGAATACTTGGTGGCATCGTCAACGTAAATTGGCAATATGTGCGACGGAATTAACCTTGTTTCGCTCTCTCGCAAGACAGAAGTGAGCAAAGAAATAATTTTTCATTAAGGGCACGAAAAAATCTTCGTCTGCGTTGTAACTTACTAAGCCCCTTGCTGAATATACAAATCTACTAAACACGTTGTTTATTTTTACCAAAAAAAGGTGCAAAGTGAGATCTCTAAAGTAGCCACTAATATTTGTCACAGTCTTCATTATGTTTTATTTTCAGTTCCCTGTCAACGTATCTTAAAGACACTAATACGATTGTCTGTTTGCTAGCTTCTGTTTATTTAACTCGTCTACACTTGGGACACTGCTACCGAATTCGAGCTCTCGACTCATTCCTGGGGCTGTCCCGTTGCTTAATTGCGTAAAAGAGCATGCCAACTGTCACGGTTGGAGATGTAAATGTCGAGAACCTGTAGATCTTCTCCGAGGAACAACTGCTCTCCGGCAAATGGAATCACGTCCTCGTACTTAAATACTTCACAATCTCTTATGAATATTCCGCTGTCTATTGGGGAAGGCACTGTTTAATAAAAACGGCTCATTTCGAGTACGTTGCGTCCTTAAATACTGGAGTGCTTAATTCACTGACAGCTTCTCAAAATTAAAACATTATACAATATTCCGAGCACCTAGATGTGCTTCTTATTACAAAATTTCCTTCGGGTATTGTATTGTTCCTTGAATTCAAATTTTGTTCAAGTCTCTCTCATTATGCAATTGGATTGTGCGCTGTATTTCTCAACTGAATGTTAAGGAAGGAATTTGGATGATTTATGTTGAACCATTATTTACGCGAAAGTTTTTAATAACAATTAAAACAAAACAAACAAACAAAATAAAGAAGACACAACGGATTCGAAGAAACATTACTAATTAATTTACACGCGATAACGCAATCCAAGATTCGGAGAACCCAACGCGAGTTCATAGCAAAATTTGGAAAGACTATCCATTATTAAATTAACCTGGAGAAAACTGCCTTTTTTCAGAGACCTCTCCTGAATTCGACACCTCTCTTCGACACGCCCATTTCTTGTGTACGGAAGTTTCGGTTCTTATCTTATTGGCGGGATCCCTGAATATCGGGGGTTGGAATGGCTTAATTATACCACGTTAATACCTAATTGATTGAATTTACAATTGTATGGATAATTTTGTGACTAAACTGAACTTACAAGTAACCCTACACATCCCTCTTGTGACTCCGTATAGCAACACGGGACACAGTAGTCAATCTCATTTAATCTATTCTTATAGATTGGAAAATCCGCCTAAAAACCAGCTATTTGATCTATTATTATTTTCCCCACAACATTCTAACAACTTATTTATATATCTTGGAATTCCTACGACTTTTCGAATGTATTTCGCGCGTTATTAGAAATACCGATTTTTCCCTTCGCCACGGGCTAAACCGACGCAATTAGTCGATACCAGATGCCCAACACATGTCCCCGACGATCTAAGTCTACTTGTTCAAAATTATCGCTAAAAAATCATCATGAGGCCTTCTCCGAAGGACTGCGATGGTCGAGCTTTGCGAATTTATTACTCCCGGTGACAAGAGGCACTAGTTTCTCAACGACTTTATGGCGACGCTAAACCTACTGAAGACCCTTTTCAATACTTATTGTTGACTGACTTGACCCATCCATTCCGAGAACTAATAATCTATCACAAGTCCCGGCTTTTGTTACAGTTAAGAGCAAAACTAAATACCTTCCTAGGGTAATGTATGCAGAAAGCTAACCAACACGAATAAGAATCGTCATCATCCAGCCCAGAGACAAGGTCATCGAGCTGATGTCATATTAGAGCTAGGACACTTCGATGAGGAGCTACACCCTCAGAATAAATGGATATACTGAGAAATGTTAAATTAGCCTTCACTAACCTGTATATTCTCCACTTTTGCTAGACGATATGGCGTCCTTCTTCAGCAGACACCCGTATTCTTGTTTGGCATTAGGCAATAGCTTGTAAGGTTCGTGGTAAACGGAAGAGTTCTCGCTATCCGATTCTTCACCTGCCACGTGACCATACAGATTACACTTCTTCTGCTTCTTGGAATCGACGCTGCTTATCGTGTTGCCTTTGCTTTTCACAGACAGCCTGGATCTTGATAGCCCGTTGTTGATGATGGGGGTAGACATGTGCTTGAGATCCTTCATGTTTATCGTTGTGGGTTTTGTGCTGCTGGACACCAAAGCTGTGTGCTTGTGAAGAAGAGCCACCTGGAAATTTGAGAATAATTTTATATTGGCTTTACATAGTAAACAATTTTGAGGTAATGAAATTACATGGGTAGGACAAGGACAGTAATGAGAAGCATGTGCAACAGAGGATGGAGAAGAAAACGCGTCTGCTCTTACTTTCTTTCTACCCCTTCTGATCATTAGAAATACGGTACATGCTAACAGGAGCACAATCATCGCCAAAGCTCCTGTAATAAGGCCTATGTATGCTTGAGTACTGCTAGTAGGGCTCGTGGCGGGTGTGACCTCTTTCCTGGCATGGGTCGTCTCTCCACTGGACGAGCCTGGTGCAGTCGTTGACACCGTCGTCTCAGGTAGTAGGTAGTACCTTTGAAGGTCGTCTTCAGTGAGGTTGTTGGGAAGAGCGACTGGAAAAAATAGAATAATTTGAGTATTTTACAATGAATCAGTAGAAAACTGTTTTATAATTTATCCTCGAAATCATACAACAAATATTTCGTTCCCGTTGCTTATAAATCGCAACTTCCCACTTGAAAATTTGTTTCGTCCTGGAGATATAAGCCTTTCCAGTTCAGAAACAATTTATTCCCTTTTTAAAACTTTTCCGGAACGTCCGCATATAAACTCGAATTTCCTACTATTGTTACTCTGCCCAACTCTATCCCGAAACTATTTTGCTGCCAATTAAAGTAGATAATTTCAGCGTTAAGTTTTTTATTTCTCTTCTGCTTAGTTGATTAATAGGAAACGGTTAGTTCTGGGATCTGTGTAAGTTTGATTTGATTAAAAGGGTGAATCGTAATTTAGTTTAAGTGGTTACTGTGGAGGGATTGTAAAATTCGAAAGCGATTGGTTCGTTCCTAGAGTGTTTTGTAAATAGCAATGTTGATTAACCGATAAAAGAAAGCCTAGTGGATATGTTCTATTAATAATATACCACCCCCTCTATCATACAATTTTTTATTTTCTTGGAAAGATCATATAAAATATACAGAATGCAATTTTCAAATGGTAGTTTCCGTATAAATATAACCCTCATTCAAAGTTATTCCCTGTGTAAGACATTAACATGAATTTAATAGTAAGCACAGCCAACGTCTTACTTTATCTCACATCCCTGTGCGTTGCAAGTAACATCCGGTGTTGACTAGATACTGAGAACTGAGTTACCTTTGAGCAGACAAAGCAATTATCCCTCTTCTGATTAGGTCCCAAGTGCGCACAGAGCTAGATATTATAACAATGATCAACAAACAATTATGTGGGGGGGTTTACTTTAATTTCAAAGGTAAACAGCGACGTGCCCGCTTTCCACATGCCGGGGTTGCTACCCTCTGGGCTGTTTACCGCCAACGATTCAATACTTCTGTTTACTGCGTATTACATTACACACACACAGGAACCTCCAAACCGAACCTTTTGTTTGACTTGGATCCGTATCGAAAAATACAAATTCGGTGGTTCAACAAATCGCGCAACCCATTCCACAAAGTTTGGTTTTTCATTACGTCGCTGTAACGGACCCCTTTTTGCTAGTCCCAACGTCATTATTAATTAGATTATTAAAGCAGATATTTATTACTAAAATTCTACATGCCTGTTCGTCAATGTCGTGCTCCCATTATAGTAAATAGACTATTAATACATTTTTTTAAGGAGGTAAGTGGATTTTACCGTAGAAGTGGATGTTGCTATGAACAATGGGAGGTAAGTGAGGTAACTTACCTCCCTAGGGAAAAAAAGCGATTTCGAGTTATAAATGCATATTTTATGTACAAATAAATAGAAATATTTGATGAATATTACATTTTATTGATTATTGTGAATGAATATTTATAGTAATTGTACAGTTATTACATTTAGTAACATTTATAAAATCTGGATAATTATTCCCCTCGCGTTTACTAATTGTCACATTTTTCTCAAAATGGTTTGACTGCTCCATTTCAGTTTACCGGAGGCTCAAAATTATCTGACTGATCCATTAAAACAGCATGATGCGACGTACTACTAGAATCTGGAGTTGAAGTGTCACTGTAAAGAATCCTGTTTGCTATTTCATTTTTGTTACTTAAACTGTCAGCAACATAACTTTCTGCAATTGTGGTTGACTTCCACCCACCATGTACTCCCACATCAACTCCTGTATTAGCCAGTAACGTTGCCGATGTTCTTCGGAATGAATGGCCTGTATATGTTTCAGGATGTTCTAGTTTCAAAAACTGTGCAATTTTATTAAGAATCATAGAAAAATCTTGCCGACTGGTTAGTTGTAACATCTACCTGTTTGATAGCGCATAAGAAAGCGAAAAAATTTTAGTTTTAATTTCCAATCTAATCTTGATAAAGTAAGGGGTCAAAAAAAAAAATCTACATTTTCGGCGATATTTCAAATGGCTGTATCTTTGATAAAAATGGTCCTATTGGAGTAAAAAAAAATCAATTTGAAGCTTGAAGTTTCAAATTTTTGGATCTTGCAAAAAAAATTTTTTCAAGTAATACGTATTGCGCAATCGTAATGAATATCACGAAAAAAAATTTTTCGAAATTTTTTTCTATCATATTTTTTGTGTACGGACTTGAAAAAAATCTTTCCAACTTAACCACCTTAAGAACTAGATAGGTTGTTCATTTAGCTTCAATTTCTTTTTTTTTTTGTCTCGATACGACCATTTCTCGCTGAGCTATCGGACTTTGAATGAAAATGGGTCATTTTCTCTTTGTTCATTAATATCTCAGAAACCAATGCTTGCACAGAAAATCGACGGTGGGTTTCAGAAACTTGAATTAATTCTCTACAAGGTCCTGGCACGGTTTTTTAGATTTTTTTTTATCCTTAACATGACTGAAGAATCGTAAACAATAGGACTTTTAGGGGTCTTCTAGAAAATCACGTGCCACATTGAGAATATTGGGAAAATGACTAATGTTAAGCATGCCTTTTACAGGTCATTCTACCGCTAAAAGCCCTACAGAGTTTCAATTCGATCCATCAAGCCGTTTTTTTGTTTCATTCGATTGGATTTTTAAAAAAAATTAAAGGATCACGTTTATTTGCCTTTAAATGGTCCGATAGCTCAGCGAGAAATGGTCGTATCGAGACCAAAAAAAAGGTTAAGTTGGAAAAATTTTTTTCAAATCCGTACACAAAAAATAAGATGATAACAAAATTCTCTACGGTTTTCGACATTTTCTGCACTTTCGAAATTTTTGCTTACTTTCGCCAATATCGAAATGCTAAAAGAACATAAATCATACCAGATCCGTAAGATTTACTGACATAAAGACGATGTCACAGTCACTAACGTGATGTAAACAAATTCATTACAAAGGACTCCAAATAAAGACCATATCCTGAAAAAAAATATATGAAAAAGCAATTCCCTTCCTCATAAAAAGTGGGTTATTTCCTTTTTAATTAAGCGCATTCATTTCCTATATTGTTTCAGCGCCCAACAAAGAATGTAATCTTAATTCAGGCACGAGCTCCTACAACAGGACGAGTTCGGAAGGATCCCGATCCTGTTTCATAAATACGGACGGGATCTGGCCGAACCAGCTGCAATAATATAATTTCCAGCAGTTTATATGCCTTGGGCGGGGCAAATTACACGTACCTAACCTGGAGCATCCAGTTCGTTCTTGTTATATATGAATATTATTCTGCAGGCAGAGACTGGCACACGTGCAAAAAGTGTATTAGTTTCCTGGGGTCCTCCCGAGAACTTACCTCCGTGTGAGGGATGGGGACGGAGTGAACGGTTGAAATTGAGGTCGGTTGCAGGACACCTGGTTATAACTTCCTTAGGCATATTTTTTTCGGTTTGTGGGAAATTTAAAGAGATTTTTTAAATTTATATTGAAAGAAACAACTACTCAGCGGACTAACGCTCCGAGTAATTTTTGTTCTACAATATCGCTGTTGCCAAAGGAAACTCGATACTGAATATTAAAATGAACCACAAATATTTCTCCGCCTTGTTTGCCTAAGTTATCGAAGTATGTTAAACAAGTAAAAAGAAAAACATTTCTAGAAAACACCGCGGCAAATCCTATTTACCAACCGCTGTATTTTATGTAGACTTTACAAGGCCCGATATTGGAATTACACTCACGTTCGTAACTGTTAAAAAATAATATCCAATTCGGTTTGAAATGAGTAAACATCCCGGCTTCGGTACTGAATTATTTAAAAGAAAAATAAACGCAAAACTGCTGTCGGTAATTTGTTATTCTTCTATACGGCTAAAGGTTCGGAATTATACGGAGTTTTGTTTGCTTCCATTTTGCTAAACCTGAAAAAAATTGAGGGCGGAATGGATTATTACCCATAATTTTTTCTGGGTGTAATTTTTCGCCCAGTGAATTTTGTACTGTTTCTGTATTATAAAGCCTCTATATTTTTCATTGGGCCGCCTTCGAGAATGCACAACTCGCACACCGCAGTTCGCTAACTTAACTGCAACTTACGTAGCAGTTTTAAAATAATCTTTCGCGGCGAATTCCACCCTCAACCGTGCAGAAAGATCGGGACCGGTGCAGTTTGTAGCGATAGATAAAAGCCGAACGTGTCTCGAAGTTTTTGAAAACTGTTACGAGTAAAAAGTCCGGGAAGTTATCTGCCGCAACTTCCTGCTTTTCTGGCTGCTTTATCGCGATGCAAGACCGATTTATCAAGTGCGAAGGTGCGACCACTCCGATTTTCTAAGCGCTCAGCAAGTTTTGTTTAATACGGAAACAATAACTTCGCGCGGAGAGAATCGATATCGGTTGCATGACGCGAGATTCCCGTATTTCGTATTATAAGTAGGCGGCGGCTTTTCAAAAATATAGTATATTACGTAATAAGTGTTGTAAAAAGCATTTTACGCGGCGTCGTGCGTATTTCTATGAGTGCGTAATTGCAATACACCACGTATTACGTACTATACTTTACCTACGACCACCACTGTAAATACTTAAAAACACACCGTCTGCGATCAATGTAAGATTCCTATTACGTACGCTAAAAAAATCGCACAGCTTGGTAAAAAAATCGTACAGTTTTCCTAGCAACGGTCAATACAAATAGTATTGTATTCGTTGTTGTTGTTAATATCGGTTCTAATTCGTATCAGTCGGATTAAAGGACATCTTATAGGATTTCACTTATGAGAATGATCCCAGCCCGCACCATACCACCGAGCCCCGCCTCCCCGGAACGCGGCACTACTCCGGCGTCCGAAATTCTGTTGTAACATCGAGCAGGTGACTGAAATAGATCACTCGGATAAAAAACTATTCGCGGATTCCTCTTTTTCCGTGCGCCGGCCCATCATCATATAAGGTTTAGTACGTGCCGCGGTTTTAGAACAAAAATCCTCTGGGGAAGGAAAGAAATAAAACGCGCGCACTGAATGGCAAGTGG